AAAAAAAAAAAAAAAAAAAGATAAGCCCCAATATGTAAATATTTATCAAGCCTCCATTTACATCATATTTGCTACAATGGGATTTTGGCTAAACGTCCCACTGGACAAAGTTGAGAGTCAGTGTGGGAAGGGACTTCATACGAGGATGAACAACTGGAGGCCTGATGCTTTGGGAGCCACCAGAGGGAACTACCGCTTCCCTTTTGTCCTGAAGCAAGGGCAGGGCTTTCTTGTCATGGAACAGCTCCTTGCCCCAACTTTTAACACTTTCACTCGACATGGAGGTACTTGTTTGGGGAAGCCTGCTTTGGGCTTTCCACCTGGTCAGGTCACCTTTATTCCTATCCCAGTCTCCTGTGAGGCATCACTGAAGTTATAATTCTCCTTTCTGTCCTGGTGGCTGTGCTATCCTGTTTCACCCTGTGTCCCCAGCGCCAGCCCACCAAGAGGCACCTGAACGAACAAGCAACTTGTCACATGATATAGCCTCTCATAACGTTGCTGATAGCTGGTATTTTACACTTGGGTTCCCCAAGGAGGAGAGACCAGAGCTGGGCTCACCCTGACCCTGACCCCAGTGAGCCGGCATCAGTTCAAACACACTTACGGTGAAAATTATGGCCCGCATTCCCCAAAGCAGAGTTTACCCAGGAGTGGGGTACCTCCTGGGGAAGTAGCAAGCCCCTCACTTACAGGGCACTCACTTGGGCTGGGCCCGTGTTCAACAAAGTGCTCAAGGTGAAGCTCATTTAATCACAGCAGTGCTGTGGGCTGAGTGTCACAACTGCCCTGTCCCTGTCTAACAGGTGAGGAGACCCAAGTGCAGAGAACTGAAAGACAGGACACTCCTGACCACCTTCTGTTCTGCCCCTACCACCATGGTCTGACCCCTGAGAATCCTGCTCGAGGTGGCCTCATCCTTAGGGCTCTGTGTCCCTCAGTTTGTCCCAGCCCCATGCCCAGAGTTGTAACCCTGAATAGGGGTTTATTTCCATGGTCTCTGTACCCAACTGTTCTCAAGGTCCCTGGCTGAGCCCTCTCTGTCATGGCCGGTTCCCTGTACTGCCTGACTCCTCCCTAGCCCATTGCTGCAGCTTTACGGAGACTTTAGCAGGGCCTGTGGCTCAGCCTCCTTCACCTTTGTGCTCTGTGCCTCACCCTCCTTCCAGCCCTGCTGCTGGCCCCTGCAGTGAAGGTCAGGCCCCCAGGATCCATTTCAGCCCTTGAGGGTGCAATGGGGACCCATCCTAGATGAACATCTCTCTAAAGAGTTGTGGGGCATCTTAAGCCAGGAGAGTT